ATGAGTCACACAATTAAACAAATGAAGCAAACGAAATGCGAAAGCAAGCCAAAGGTACAGGTCGGGCTGAGAGGGGCGAGTGGGGGGCGGGCGAGGTGGCGCTGAGTAAACGAACCGAATGACACGACAAGATAAGCAACATAATTGTTTCTGTGTGCCTGACGACAATTAAATACCCTAGCCTAAATGATAGACAATAACTTGGACTCTGAACTATTAACTGATTTCTCTGATGATCAGAAAATTAGAAAACAACTAGAAACCAAATAAATTTAGTTGCAATGAGAGAGGGAGAGGGGGTTAGAAAGAGAGATAAGATAAATGCTTAAGCTACTGCTATATAAGAAGGGAGCTCAAATTTGAGTGAGTGCGACAGACAGAGRGGGAAAGAAAGAGAGAGAGAGAGATAAGCTTATGGAGAGAAATAGCGAAAGATAGAGATAGACACATGTATAAAAAACGTAGAAAAAGACAGAGGGAGAGAAAGAGGGAAAGGGAAAAGATGAAAAAAATATTAGATAAAAAGATTTGGCATATGGGTTCAGAGAAAGAGAGAGATGTAAAGTGATGAAGAGATTTAGATTTATAGAGAGAGGGAGATGGAGAAATAAATAGATGGATTAAGAAAGAAACATTCAGTGATGAAGTGGAAGAAGGAGAAAAAATGAGAGATGAAGTCAAAAAAGAGAAATAGAAAGAGATTGATTGATAAAACGATAACAGAGTAACAGAATCAAACACATCTAACTATATGTAGCATTAATATTACAGAAAGAGACACAGACAGATGGCGAGTGAGAGATATAGGTAGAGGTAGAGCGAGTAAGCAAGGGACGTAGCATTGAGAGAAAGAGAGATCAAGATATGGCAGTCAGATAGATAGAGTCAGATAAGTATATGCCTCAATGAAATCGAGTCTATATACTGATCGAGGTACATGCATATATAGATATCTACATATATATACAATATATGCATGTGTATGCATATTCCTTATTGATTCGGCTCTCGCGTCTCTCCAATTCAATTAGAATATTCTCGAAAGGAGTATAATTAAAACACATTTGGCAAGGATAAATAGCAAAATCGGTGTCGAACAAACGAACGAAGGCACACACACACACACACACACACACACACATACACACACACACACACACACACACACACACACATACACTCTACATTTTTACGGTACAAGTTTTGCGTTTGAAGTGCCAAGTAGAAAAAGCGAACAAGAGCACGAGAGTGAGAGAGAGAGAGAGGGAGCGGGAGAGGGAGAGGGAAAGAGTGGCAAGCTAACGCCACGTCGCCATTTTGCCAAGCTACAAAAGGAGGCAAAAAAAAAAAGAAAAAAGAAAGGGTGGACCTGCTAACTGTAACAGCAGCGCGGGAGGGGCGAGGCGCAGTGTAGTGGCATGGCGTTCAGCTAATGCAAACAGTAGCTGCTAAAAGTGGGTGGACGCGGGCCGCCTTGATGATAGCCTGCGTCGCGCTGTGCTGCGCTGCGCTGCGCTGAAGGAAGCTGCTCAAGCTGAAAATAAAAGTTCGTCCGATTCGTCTGGTTTGTTTGTATTGCACGTCGCTATAAGCAGCAATACATGAGTGTGTGCATGTGTGTGTGTGTGTGTGTGTGTATGTGTGTAGGCATATACGTAATAGGAATACGGTGGCAAGCAGAGTTGAGAACCTGAACGTGAATGCCGCAGGAGAATGGGCCCAGGCACTGCTCGGGACGTGCAGCGACAACGTGCCAAACTGAAACTTGTGGCAGGTGCTTGAATTTGGCATTTTGTTGACTAAGCCCGAACGACTTGCCTTGTTGTTGTGATGGCACACCGCACCACGCACCCCGCACCCCGCACCACGCCCCTCCATTGGCAGCCACACATTTAGCTCCCACTGTCCACGTGCCGCATGCATTATTTGCTCAAGTGGTTGGGAAGGCGGCAGCGGGGGGAAGGAGTCGGACTCCCCTGTGCCGTGGCAGAGGGCCCACTAGTTCAGCCCGTGGCTGATTTCATTTGAGCCGCATGCCACTATTCAATCGCTCGAGTCACGTTGCCACCGATGGCAGCAATGGCAGCTGGAAGGTGTAGCCGACAAACTCGTTGCATACGCTGAGAGCAGGAATCTCGTCTTGACTTTTCCAGGCGAATTGTTTTTGGCCAGATTTCGTACGCCATTTGGGCTTGGGCTTGGGCATGGGCATGGGCGAACGTCGCTGTCGTGGAGCATCATTATCGATGGTGTCATTAGCCATCAGTCGAGTGTCGAGTGTCGAGAGAGAGAGAGAGAGAGATAGAAAGAGAGAGAGAGAGAGAGAGAGAGAGAACGAGTTGAACTGAAGGCACTTTGTCCAATCCGCTGATAAATAACCGAATAGATAAATGATGATGCGGCACACGAATGAATGAATAAATGAATCAATTATTTGCCCGCTGCATACAAATGTTGAGCTGCCACCCAAATCCATCCCATCCCATTCCCATTGTAGCCCAGCCTAGGCTACTCTAGAATAGCTAATGGCTATCCCAACGCCATCCGGAGCTGTGCCGTGAATTGCTTCTCTCTGCTAAACAGTTTCCTAATGGAACTCACATTGGAGATTAAATTGATGGATATGGGGAAATAAATTCGAGTGGGGGATTCTTGAAGAGTGTGTCTTAAAAGCATATACCCAATATATCAACCTGATCAGCATTTAGTCTATTGTGTTTAGAATCTGCTCTGGCTAAGAGTTATTGACTGATGAGTTGGGGAATTACTTGAATATTTAAATGGAAAGGAAATTATGGGTATATTACCTTGTCCTCTTTGAAGTAGGTTAGGCAAGCATATACTTTGTAGTCATATGTTGCTCATTGATGGGTTTATTTGGTTATTCTGTTAGAGCTAATATAAAACTAAAACTTACTCAAAATGTAGCACCGGCTCCTGATGCCTTCGGCTAGTGCTTATTGCTTCGTTTTTATGCCTCCGACCAAGCTACGTTCTAGTCTTGTGCTATCGAGATGTGTCTCTATAAAGAATTATGTGTGTATTTGGTTTATAGCTGGGGGCTGAGCAGAAAGAGGCATTGCAATTGTGAGAGCTAGCTCTGTTTGGCTGAGTCCATTCGCCTCCTGAGTGCGATGCAACGATCGAATGCAGCGCAGTTGTCTTTGCACTCTCTGCATAGATAAAGAGCTATCAATTGGAGCATTATCTATACTGCTTGAACACTCTAAGCTGCTTTGATGCCTCTTGCAATTGGAGGAATTATTGCTCGAAGATTCTTTTGAGAGACCGAGTAGCGGCTGCACTTGATGTTCTGCTGTTAGAGTTCTCTTTCATATATGAATTATTAATATGTCTTATATCTTATATTTTATGGAGTTGATTGATCGCCTAACTAATTAGCTTAAAGTGCAAAGCACAAATTTCTCGTGGTTGCTGTGGCGTAGAAGCTTTTGAAATATCATATATTTGATTTTAGTTAAGCATTTTTT